TTTGGAGTCAGAGTCTTGCTCTGTCTCCCCAGTTAGAGTACGGTAGTGTCATCATAGCTCACTGCAACCTCAAACTCCTGATCTCAAGCAATCCTCCTGCTCCAGCCTCCTGAGTAGCTAGGACTACAGGTGTGCACCAACACACCCGGCTAATTTTTCTATTTTTTGTAGAGATGGGGTCTCGCTCTTGCTCAAGTTGGTCTCAAACTCCTGAGCTCAAGTGATCCTCCCACCTCAGTCCCCCAGAGTGCTAGGATTACCAGATGTGATTACAGGCCAGATTACACCCAGCCACTGTCTATAATTTTTAAGATTAAATACATACACACAGCAGGTCATCAAATATTTGCTGAATTTAAGACATATTTACTTATAATACAACTATAGAACACAAATAAGCTACCCAATCAATGAACAGAACAGCAACCAAAACAAAGCTCCAGAAAATAGTATAGTATCATACTGCGAAGTTTTCAGACGTTATATGTCAGTTTCTATGCAATTTAATTAAATCTTTTTTATTGAGATATAATTCACATACCACAAAATTTACCCTTTTGAACTATAAAATTCAGTGGTTTTTAGTATATTCACAAGGCTTTATACCCATCACCATTATCTAATTCTAGAATACTTTCATCATCCCAAGAAGAATCCCCAAGCCCAACAGTAGTCACTCACCATTCTACCTCCCCTCAACCCCAAACAACCTCTAATCTACTCTGTATCTCTATATATTTGCCTATTTTGGACATTTCATATTCAAATAAATGGAATCATATAATATGTGGCTTTTGTGAGTTTGAATAAATCTTAACCCCTCATTATCACATAGTTTTTCTCTCCTCTTTTTTTCCTAATTGTATGATCATTTAACATGGTAACTATAGTTAATAACAATGTATTAAACACTTGATAACTGCTAAGAGATTTTAAGTATTCTCACCATAGATTAAAAATACATGGGAAATAATGCACATTAGTTTGATTCATTCCACAACGTATATATATTTCAAAGCATCATGCTGTACACCATAAATATATACAATTTCTATTTGTCAATTTAAAAAATAAATAAAGAGAAAAAAGCACAATCAAAGCAATGCTATCATCTCTGCATAGAAAATCTTTAACAGAACATGTATGACACATAAAACATACATATACAAAGAAAGATCAGGAAATTGTATTATGAGGCTGATATGGAATAACAGATATAGATACAAAGAGTATTACACAAATGAACACATTGTAATTTTTATAATCTTTGCTGCAAAATTTCTGAAAAATATAATGTACTTTCTCATTGTTTTTTATTTGTTTGTTTGAGACAGGGTCTCACTCTGTCACCCAGGATAGAGTGCAATGGCATAATTATAGCTTACTGCAGCCTCAAACTCAAAATCCTGGGTGCATGCAATACTCCTGCAGTAGTTTCACGACTAGCTGGGACTACAGGAATGCGATTCCTTTTGTAACTTTTAATCACCAACTTTTAACATTATTTAAATGTACCATCCAGTTTATTTTCTTCTTTTTATGCATTAAATTTCATACTTTTGCGTCAAAATACCAGGAGGTTATATTTGGATTCTGAACACCTAAAAGGTTTTTATAGCATCCTTACTCAAAACATATCCTGCGGGAGTTAGCTACGCTCCCAGGAAAAAATCGGGTCCCTTAGGTACGGGTCATAGCAAAGGATAAGAAAATAATAGAAAATGGAAAATAGTAGAAATAAAAGAATACACAGAGACGAAGGTATAGTTTTATAGATTTATAAAGATAAAAGGCAAAAAGCGGGATACTCAGGGGTCCCTACGATATCCCCGTGAATCATAGGGCCCGGAATAAAGTTTCACATGGGTTTTTATAGGTAAAGAGATCGGTTGCCAGCGGTAACAGATTTACATAATAACAGGCAGTTCGTTTTGGGTTAAAAGTCTTTCAAAAGGCTTCTATAGATCCCTTAACTAACTCTGGTTACAAAGTCTATCAAGGGCAAACTTCTACGTTCTAAGATAAAGCTATTACTTAACAGAAGGGTTAAACAGAGATATAGTGCTCCATATTTATCTAGTTATTGCAGACAGAGACAGGTCATCAGAAGTCAAGCAGGAACTGTCCCTTGGGCTAATTGTTTTTAGCCGCAGGTGTCTGTCTCTGGGCGGACACTCTTTGATCAGCTCTCATCCCATGAATCCATGTAGACCTTGCTTTGTCCTTCAAAGCAGGTGAGAACCACAGGGTTGAGACAGCAGTAGTCACCTTGGAAAGCAGCTGCTACTTACCTTCTGAGATGCCCTCCTGAGGTGGAGCAGCTTTTGATATGCAAACTAACATGTTCACATATTCTTTCAGAGCAGAGCCCTGCAAAACTCCTAGACCATTTCTGTCTCTAATATAGTAATATTAATTTATGGAGCGACTATATCCCAAAGGAAGTATCCAAGTGGTGTCCTAAAAAGTCTGGGATGAAAAGTTTGCTGTATTATATCTATACAGTAAAGATAATTATCATCACTTTAAGTATTCACATTTTACTCCATGCTTTAATAACCATTGCCAGTACGTGTGGAACCATATTTTTTTTAAAAAGCACCCTGAGAAAGGACAGGTACAAACTGACATAAAACACAGTTCTTCGTTTCAAAGAATGAACAAAGTTGGAAAAATATCAAACCAAGTGGAGGAGAGAGAGAAATAGGAAACATCATCAGTCTCTCATCCTTTCTTCCTTTTTTCTTTATGATTTAATTGCTTTTTTTTTTTTAAGAAACAGGGTCTCTTCCTGTCACCCAGGCTGGAGTGGGGTGCAGTGATCATAGCTCACTGCAGCCTCAATCTCCTGGGCTCGAGCAATCCGCCCTCTTCAACCTCTGGGTACCTGGGACTATAGGCATGCATCACCACACCCAGCTAATTCATTTTTATTTTAGAAATAGGGTCTAACTATGTTGGCCAGGCTGGTCTCAAATTCCCAGCCTTAAGCAATCCTCTCACCTCAGCCTCCCAAAAGTGCAGGGATTACAGGCATGAGCCTGATTTATCCCTTGATGCTTCATACCTCAACTCCTTAGTGAATTCACCATCAAGGGGCTCTGGGGCCCACTTGAAACACGCAAATCAAATGATGCTGTAAGCCAGAAAAGGTCAGAATCATACCTTTTCCAAAATGAACTTGTTCAAATATGGCATGTAGCCCTGATTGGAGACAGGCCCTTCATCATCATCCCTGAAGTGTTCTTCAAGGGCAACGGGGTCATGCGGAACCTTCAGCACTGTGCACAGGTTATGGGAAAGGACCTGCAGGGGAAAAAGAGAGTAGTTTAAAGGCTCCCACTAACGAGCACGATACCTTCACTGTGCGAACACAACACACTGGACCCTGCCTGGGAAGAGAAAGATGGAAAATAAACTAGCGAATACGGGGTGAGGACTGCTCACGTGCCAGCCCCCACTTGTCACCATTATTCTCTCTTATCCCCTCCCCAGTTTCGGCTCACTTCGAACAAGTCTCCATTACAGGCCTACTATGAGCCAGGCTCCATGTAAGATCTGTGAATATAATATCCCTGTGCTCTTTTATTAATTGATCCACATTAGGAGAAATGGGGGTGGGAGGCAAGTGAATGTGTTCAAAATTAAACTTTTTCCCCAATAAGAGCAGGGTTAGCCAATTCGAGCTGTTTAGAGGAAGAACCTGGTACTGGGCAGCAGAAGCCAGGGGTTCTGGACAAGGAGGCTGACCTGGGTAAGTCACAACCTCTCTGGGCTTCAGTTTTCTCATTTATTCAATAGAAAGGGGAAAATTAGTAGACATACCAGATATAAATTAGTAATCTCTATGTGTTCAAACACCACTAAAATTCTATGACTCTAGGCTAAGTTTCAGCATGAGTATAAAAGAACACAACTATAAAAAGAGAAGGAAATCAAGGGCCTAATATAGAATTACTAATTAAAAAATGGCAAAAATATTCCAGGAGTCACCAAAACGGTTGAAAATATTTCGTAGAAAACTTGCATTCCATAACATACAAACATATGCAGGGCTACTGGTCTTGCAATAACCTACCTAAATGCATACTTCAATATCCAGGCAGAGTAGCTTAATTAGCAGTTTGGGCTACCTCAGTTCTAGTCTCGTTTTACATTAAATGAAAATTTGAAAATAAAGCTCAAGTCCTTTCCATTTCATTTGTGCATTCTGAACAGGTCAAATTACAATGCTAAGGGCAGGGCACGGTGGCTCACACCTGTAATCCTAGCTCTCTGGGAGGCCGAGGCGGGCAGATTGTTTGAGCTCAGGAGTTCAAAACCAGCCTGAGCAAGAGCGAGACCCTGTCTCTACTAAAATTAGAAAGAAATTAATTGGACAACTAAAAATACATAGAAAAAAAAAATTAGCCGGGCATGGTGGCGCATGCCTGTAGTCCCAGCTACTCGGGAGGCTGAGGCAGAAGGATTGCCTGAGCCCAGGCTGTAAGCTAGGATGACGCCACGGCACTCTAGCCCGGGCAACACAGTGAGACTCTGCCTCAAAAAAAAAAAAAATTACAATGCTAAGGCTATACTTTCTTTAACAGAGAATCTTCCTGGTTGAGTCCCACGTTAAAATATTCCCTATTTTTCTCAGCCCTAAACATTTACGTACTTTAAGGAGCCACAGTCATCTCAATAAACACTTTCAATTCCATTAAGCAAGTCCCTTTTTCTGCACACACGTGTTTTAGTTAGGATTTTTTTTAAGATTAAAAATGTTTATTAAAAATATTGCATATCTTTTTTCTCAATTTGTTTTGTTTCTCAAAGCTTCATTTATGTGGAAATCCTTTTCTACATGCTCTACTGGTTTTAAGGAAGTAAATTCACAAATGGTTATAAATGCAGTAATGAAGACTTTTATCAGCCTCTACAAAGCAGGCTGTGTTTCTGAAGCAAACCCCGTATTTGCCAGTAGAGCAGCACATGAAAAGAGTACGGTGGAGCTTTTATTGAAGAATCCTGCATCACAGTCAGCAAAATACTAGATAGATATTTTCTTTCTCTATTTACTTAGTAAAACCTATATAGCAATTATCTAATCCAAAGAGGTTCTGTGAAGATCAATTTCAAGAATGCAAAGTGCTTAAAAACTGTTAAGTACTATAGAAATACAAGTTTTAGAGAAATGAAGAGCATATTTCTCAGGTCAGGCTCAAAAGTCATTCAAATTTTAAAATCATTTTGGACTTTACTCAGGTAAAAATTCCCAACCACTAGTTAAATTATGATACATCCATAAAATGTGAAAAACCATGAGGAAGTATACTATGTGCTGATATGAAAAATCTCCAAGATAAATTAAGAGAAAAAAATAAGATACCTAAGAGTACGTATAATATGTCATCTTTTGTATAAAAGAAAAAGGATAATAAAATGAGCAATTCTGGAGAGGTCCACAAGAAACTAATAACTGAGAAGAAGACAAGTTTGATGGGAGACCAGGGGTAGGAGACTTTTCACAGCACCTCCCCCATTTTTATCAACTTTTGAAAAAATTTACCTATTCAAAAATGTACTACGTATTTTAAAAATTAAATATATATTTTTTAAGTGGCCAGCCTAAGAGCACATAGATGAATCTATTTATCTTCATAGTCTGTATTTTTTCTTCTACATTAACCTACTCTCTAGAGATGAGGTGTAAAAGGATGACATATTCCACAGCAATGCACCATGGTACATTAACGGATAAGTGAGATGTTAAGGGCAATAAACGAGTTCAAAAAAGGAGAAATAGTGTGTTCTACAGTGACTTCATAGAGGAAGTAAAATGTAACCTAGGGCCTAAAGGATAAATAAGGATAGCTTTAGGACAGAAATAGAGGCAACTACTATTAATAGAAGAATTTCCACTTTGGGAAACAACATGAGAAAAGTAGTTAATTAATGCAAAGTCCTCGGGGAACAAAAAGAAAACATGATCTCTCCCACACCTATCCTGTTCTCTGCCTTTGGGTTTCATAGATCCTCCAACTAAAGTCCTGGCAGGGGCCATGGATGTCATATTGTCATCTTCTCACTTTGTAAACAATGAGTACCGGCTCAAAAAGATTAAATTTGTTTTTCTTGACTAAAGTTAGTGAGCAGAACTGAGACCAGCTCAGGTTTTGCAATCACTGATCCAATGCTCTCTAGTAATAAGGAACATTGTGTCTTCAGTTCTCTAAAATCAACAACAATGTTCTTTGTATGTGCAGGTGCTTAAATTTAATTCAGTGATCCCACTGAAGACAATTTAGATTTGAACTCTAGACTTTGGCCTTGGACAATTAAACAGCATTCTTGTTAAATACAGAAATAGCTGAATTCAGTGATAATTTTCTTAACCCCCTTTACTTAATTAAGCAAATCATGAGGAAGACAGCACATTATAGTATCAAGGAGCCTGGAGGAGAAGACCTGAGCTCCAGCCCTGGTATTGCTACTTATTCACTTGGCCTCAGTATCCTCACTGTAAAATGAGGACTTGGACTTACCTCTAAAACCTTTAACTGTCAACCCAAACTCATTTCATGAATTCAGCAAAAAGAACTATAATTTAGATCAGAAGTTCAGCTTTGTTAGAGCTTTTTTCATTGTTAGTAAGGTCTAGAAAAGGGAAGTCATCTTCAAAGAAAATAACAAATAATAAGAAATTAATGGCCAGGCGCGGTGGCTCACGTCTGTAATCCTAGCACTCTGGGAGGCCGAGATGGGCGGATTGTTTGAGCTCAGGAGTTCAAAACCAGCCTGAGCAAGAGCGAGACCCTGTCCCTACTAAAAATAGAAGAAATTATCTGGACAACTAAAATATATAAAAATTAGCCGGGCATGGTGGCGCATGCCTGTAGTCCCAGCTACTTGGGAGGCTGAGGCAGAAGGATCGCTTGAGCCCAGGAGTATGAGGTTGCTGTGAGCTAGGCTGACGCCACGGCACTCTAGCCCGGGCAACACAGTGAGACTCTGTCTCGAAAAAAAAAGAAAAGAAATTAATGAAAAAGTATTTCTAAAAGAGGAAAAAACACTGTGTGCTATCTTTAAAACTTTTCACCAGAAATTTTTTAAAAGTCTAGATAATATCTCAAGTTTTTTAAATAAAAAATAAAGTGTACAAGAAACCAAATTTTTGATGGTCAGAATACAAACTAGTAAAAGGAAGCTTCATAAGCTTATACAACAATTTATGCTTTTTGTAGTAGACTCACACTACCCATTAATTTGTCTTAGTCTCTCCACCAGGAGAGTAGATCTTATTGCTATATTTTACAGATGAAGAGGTTCAGTCAGAGATTAGGAGACGTGCCCCAAATCACAGCTCTATGTGTAGTGAAACTGGGACTAGACCCAATTCTCTCACGACAGTGTTCTTTCCATGCTATGCCACTTTCCCGCTCTTTCTGGAAAAACAGATAGCCCTGACTATACAAAGATGACTCTATGGACATACATGCACATAGTTTCTAAGTTGCAATGATGGGCTGGTGCTACCCCAGCCCCACCCTGTCAGTTCTTCCAGGGCCCAAGAAGATGACTGGCACCATTCAGCAGAGCCAAGTTAAATCCAGTGGTGAAGAACAACATGGCCCCTAGAAATCTGGGGCCATTCTCCCTCTGGGAACCCTCATCTCCCAGTACCTGTCTCTGGGGGAAAGGATTCTAAAAGGCAGTAGACCCCTCTCCAGATGAGGAAGCTGAAAAGCAGACCAAGACAAAAGCAGTCAGAAAGAAAGAGGACTACAAAGTCTTGATTTGTAAAAGGACTGCCCTGAATTACTCTAATCAGAGTGTGTTTGCAAGTTTCATGAAAAAGATGAATTTATCCCACTTCAAATGCCTGCTCCTCCAAAGGCCATTCTTTTAGCACCCACATGATTGCTAAGCAACTTTGCTCTCATTTCCCTGATTTGAAGAATAAACTATTGTTACCACAATATAAGATCCATATCCATGCCAGAAACTCATCTCTCCAGTTCCCTCATAGCTGTCTGCTATTGCCTCTGCAGGGCCCCTGCTGACAAGAGATGTCTAATTAACTGCATGAGCCCAGCTCGTGTGGTCTTTTCCTGTTCAGTGGTTTGCCATTTACCCTTTTTAAGCACTTTGCTCCAGCCATCATGAAAATTAAATCAAGGATGATAAACTACTCAACAGTGTTTTAACACACATCAGTGTGTAACAATCACCCTCCTAGATTCTAAAAGGTTCTTTACAATGTGCCCCCCCCATATACCATTTCCCTTTACAGGATGTGCGTAATGGGCAAGATTCAGCACTGAAAA